ATGTTTGTCTGTTTTTAAAGTTAAGTGTACTGAATTACTGATTACATTTTATTTCCTCCTGGATAATTCTAGATTGCTTTCATTGCAATTGCTGGTGTTTCCTTCCAGGCATTTGTACAAGGGTACATCTATGTTTTTACCTGATATCTTTCTACCGTTATTAATTTATAGGTAAATCTTAGTACATGTTTTAGTTTCAGTACAAATACAATGTTTGTGTGGTTTGTAGAAAGTTTATGTAAATAAACACTTGAAATGTATTATTTAAGATTAAGTTATAGACGGTAATGACCTTTGTGTTCATATCAACATAAATGTTTGGTACAATATCATAAAGAAGAGGACATAGGTTAAAAAGTTCAACCCCTCTGTTAAAACTAACGAAAACCAACAAAAAACAACATTAAACTGAGCAAGTTATTGTATTGTATTGTACCTAACCTGAATGTCACATTTAGTAAGGGTTATATAGGTCCCTTTTTGTAGATTTTAGCTTTTAAATATTGTATGAAAATTTACTGATATTATTTTCAAACTTAAGCTATTTCATATCTGAACAAATATAACATTCTGTTTAATAGTGTTAGAAAATTATGTTTGACCTTTAAAACAAGTGTAAAATTCAATACCTCAGGTAGGTCATTCGTTTAACGAAAGATTTCTTCTATTCTTTGACACATAAATTGTGATTTTGACAAAGAAAAAGAACAATCTAGATTCATATCTCTGAACAAAACGTTATTGAAAAGGATCAGATAAATTCATAAAGATCTCATTTTCTTTGCCTGACACTGTCTTTCAACAGAACAGCTATATATAGAGCTTTTTGTTTGTTTGACCGGATCTATAACTAAACTAATTACTTGTTTCCATGATTCAGTCTTGTGTATCAACTAAGCTATTTGTTTCCTCTTGCTATGCTAACATGATTATTTAGCTGTTAGTTTGCCATACACACATAAGTACAAGTCATGTTTGGCTGACACAGTCTTACAACTAAAGATAGTTTTCCTAACAGTCTAAAAATTGGTCATAGGAAAGTTTTACTTCTTTGCCATACATATTTCACATGTCTTACTGAAAAAGATACATGTTTGCAGCATGGAGTCTGCCTGACACAGTGTTAAATCCTTACATAGGTACATGGCAGTGCTGCCAAGTGGTCCACTTGTCAGACTAGTAATCTAAGAATTGTTGGCCGAGGGGTTCTAATCCTGCTGGGACAAGCCGTTGTTTCCTTGAGCAAGAAACTTCACACTAATTGCTTAGTACTATAGTTAGTTCTAGTAACAGATTCAAGAGGGTGTATTATAATCATAGACAATGGAACGAAAATAAATTCAGAATAAACTAACACAGTCCTACAAACTAACATAGCATTTTTTGCCTGACACAGACATATCTTAACAAACTTGTTTTTGTTATCTTAATAATACAGATTTTATGGTTTAAATAGAAAGTCTGCGAGCAAGCTTTCGAGTCAGATTTAGTCTTATTATTCTCTGCAATACGATGTACTTTAATTTTCAGACACTTTACTTCTTAAAGCTACAAGTACAACTATTCTAGATAAGCCAATTTACTCAGAGAAGAAAACAACAACAACTAATCAGTTCTCATTCAAAGGAACTTTTGATATATTAACAGTATGTGGGCTTATACACTCCTGAGAGAGAAAGTGATTTTATCTTTGTGCTCACTAATACCTGTAGAAATCTTTGATGGTTTTTACATGATCTAATTCAACATGATTTGAGCCAGAAAACGCGTTTTCTCATCAACTAAATCTTTATTTTCTTGTTTTGACTTATTTTGTGGTAGGAAATCAATCATAATGTTGGATAAAACATCAGTTTCCGTGTAAACACTTCTTAAAAAGCTGTATTTTTTGGCAGTGTACTGAAAACAAGGTGAAAATGTTCTATGGTATATTTCATTTTTTTTGTTGTTTCATTACCTTCACCCAGTTATAATTGATATTGTTGAATTTGCTGGTCTACTAGTCTAGCTAGTAGACCAGCAAGTTAGAGTACCTTGTTTATTTGTTAGGGACTCACAGATTTTCCAGATTTCTGCCAAATTTTCTTACATAGACATAATATTTGCTTCCTGATCTGAATCACCTTTTATGTTATAACTATGATTTCCTTGTAAAAAAGAAGAAGACCACATACTTTATTTCCTATGAATTGAACATATTTTATTAATCAAAGGCATTTTAATTTTTACATGTATTTTGTTCCTGTAACTAAAATTCAGAATACCATATCCTTCAATGTGCTGGGTTTCTATGTATAAGAAATCTTCAGTCTAATGTAGTATTAGTATGAACATGAAATGGTTAGAATTAGATATGATGTAAGACATATTATATGTATATAAAGACATGGAATTGTTTCTGACAAAATAGATAGAAAGTTAATAATTGCTCTAGATCAGGACAAACTATTGTTATTGTGTAATATAAAGAAAGCCTGTTTACCATCTTCAGCCTTGACACTATGATAGGTAAAGGTAGGTATTGTGACCAGCCACTTAGTACTGACACCAAATGGACTTTGATTTGAAGGAAAATAGGTAAACAAAAACAAAAAATACAAAAAAAACAACAAAAGTAACGCGAAAAAGGATAGAAATAAAAAAGATTGTACAGTGCACCTGTTAATTCAGTAATTGGTGTTAAATCAAACATGCAATGACAGGTTCATCATTACCTGGAGACATTGAGGGCTTACAATTGATGGGAAAGAGGACATTGTATACATATAAAGTGATGGTTTGTGGTCTGTATATAACCGCAGATATATCTTAAAGTCTACCTAAAGTCACGGAAAACCACTTGAGAAACTCTTGTTTACTGTTTGAACCTATCCATAAAACATCAATAATGGCTGTATTTATAAAGGTTGTGACTGAAATATAACATACAGTATCAAATGTGCATTGTGCAAGTGTAATAAAAACATGGTTCATCTGTCGGCTTTCATTGTCATGATTCTTAATAGACACAGTTTTTAAAGGACATTGTTTAAATCAAAGAATAGGGAGAGCTTCTGTTCTTTCCCAGATGTCAATGCTGGTGTCATATTTTGGTCAAGTTTTTGTGTGAAAGTTGGTATCTTCAAAACTAAGGGAATTGGTAGAAATTTCACACATTTATTTGAAACGATAATACAAGATCATCAGCCATAACTCTTACATGGAGTTTTACAGAATTATGGCCCTTTGTGAACATAGAAAATTCTACATTATTTGGGCTCTAGTTTATCTATCAATTACTGTGAGAGTATTTGAGCATGCTGTCCTACCGACAGCTCTTGTTTAAGTTCGCTGAGATATGATAATGTCCTTATTTACATTCAGCCTGTCATCTAGTGTTCCATACTTTATTTTAATCATTATTCTCATGATGTCATACAAGATTACATAATAGGAGACTGTGTGACTCATGCCAAGGAATCACATTACCAAAATGGAATGTCTTCGAGCTATCTGTGAATCACTGCTCTAGATTCTTCAGCTAAAAGACACAGCTTTATTCCCTGGACTTAAGAAGGGGCTTCCTATAGGTTGCAACCCATTTAAAGAAATCAATAACATCATGCAATTTACCCTAATATGGATGTCATATGATTATGTTTCCCAGTGCCTTACGATCTTGCACAATATTTTCAAAAAATTAAAACTTTGACCCACTTTCTCTGAAATTAAATTTGTTATGTTTCATTATTTTTATTTAATGGTAAATTAAAAGAAGGCAATTAAGAAAAGTGTCTTTGTGAGAAAAAAAAACAACAAAATATTTACAAAATTAGTTTGCTTTAATAATGTCTTACTTGAAATTTGAAACTGTCCATGATAGATTAACAATTTCAAGATCAATAAATTAAGAGAGTGTTTTGAGACTGCAAGGAGATGCTGACTAGTCTTGGGGCTCTATCCTTGTTGCATTGGTCTATAATTGTCTACACATAGTGAAAGGGTTATCACAATTACCGTCTCATTTCTTTGGTTACATGGATCTTCACAACATAGCTTTATGTCCCTAAATGTATTAGTTTTTTTTTTCTATGTCAAAAGTATATTGTCGCTGGACAACAAATGCAGAATTTTTAGTTCTTAGAAACATGTGCCCCTTCCATCGACTAGGTCTGCTTATGCTTGGCGTACTTTGATATGGAAATTTGGCCATGACCCCTGATGGTTATAAAGTAAGGTGACACGCTATACCAAATAAAGATAAAAACATATTGTTTTCCATTGGCTAGTCAGGTTCCCCAGTACAGATTTTATTAATGTTACGAGGCATGCAGGACGTCTTATTATTCTGCCTGCTAATTAAAACATAACGGCAAAGTGGCCGTTATAAGAATGCCAAGGTATTTTCTGATGATTTTGTAAATTTATAAGTGGATACAATCATTTTTTGAACATCTTTGGCTAACGTTTTTGGTATTTTATATACATGTAATTCACTAACCATAAATACATGTAGAGGCTTTAACCTGCTAAATTACTTAAACATAATGCTCTATACTAGTGGCACAGGCTAAATCACTTGGTTCTAGCAAAATAAGGGTTAAAAGTTCTTTTTTCAGTTTTTTTGTGCTTTCTTTGTTTGATTTTGTGTTTTTCTCGGAAGTATGATGTAAAGTTCATGTGGAAATACTTGTGTTTTGCTATACTTGACGTCATGTAATTGGCCATGTCTTCAAAGAGATAAATTGTTCACGTAGGAGAACATTTCCGCTTTTTTGAGTGTTATATTATATGTTAATGGCGACATTACACTGTGCAACGTGCATTTTACTGTACATGTTGTATGTCATAACAGTAATGCCATGTCACATTTCATCACATTACCACAATAAAAGACGGCACGCTATAGCTACTTACGTCAACACATATTACCTGAAATGTTCATCAACTAAAATTAACAAAGAGATGTTTTTATTTCTGTTTTACTACTTTATATTTTTATTTTTCTATTTTATTTACAGGCAAAAGAGGGTCAGTGGCCAGTCACTAGCAGATATTGCCCGTTAGATCTTTTCTCTGGGTGAGTCATACTATCTATCATGATTTGAAGTATTCAGTAAAAGTTTAGTGTAAAAGTGAGGTTAATGAACAGCCTTCTCTAGTGTAAACAATGATAAGGGAAAATGGGGAATTACAAAATATGATATGACGTAAAAATTAGACTTACTGAAAGTTCAAGGAGGCACTTTGGAGAGTGTGTCAAGCTTTACTAGTTTAATGGTAAGTTTAATGGTACATACTGGGAAAACTTTGGAAAATTTAATGCCCACATAGAAAATGTAAACTTTAGACAAGAAGATTGATATGGTCTGTGTAGGTTGATGATTTTAAGATAGAATCCTCTGACATATATGAACACTGGCTTAAGAAAACAACACTCAACATTATTTAACAAATGAGATCGAGAGAAGTTTGCGTTGTCTTTGACATTAAAAGTATAAAAAGTGATGAATAATTTGTAATGTTAAAGATAAATGTGTAACAATAAGTAAATTTCAGAAGATTTTATTTATTTCAAAAGCAATGGAAATGGATATTTTTAAGAATCAAATATGTCAAATTATGAAAATAGTTTATAATGATGTTATGGGTTTTTAGCTCACCTGTCACAAAGTGACAGGGTGAGCTTTTGTGATCGCTTTTCGTCCGGCGTCCGTCCGTCGTCCGTCCGTCCGTCCGTCGTCCGTCCGTAAACTTTTACTTTAAATGACATCTCCTCATAAACCACTAAGCCAATTTCATCCAAACTTCACAGGAATGTTCCTTTGGTGGTCACCTTTAAAAATTGTTCAAAGAATTTAATTCCATGCAGAACTCTGGTTGCCATGGCAACCAAAAGAAAAAACTTTAAATATCTTCTTTTAAAGAACCATAAGAGCTAGAGCTTAGATATTTGGCATGAAACATCTTCTAAGGAGTGTCTACCAAGTTTGTTCAAATAAAAGCCCTGGGGTCAAAATTGGCCCCGCCCCGGGGGGTCATTGATTTTCCCTATATGCATATAGTAAAAACTTAAAAAATCTTCTTTTAAAGAACCCAAAGAGCTAGAGCTAAGATATTTAGCATGAAACATGTTCTAATAGGTGTCTACCAAGTTTGTTCAAATAAAAGCCCTGGGGTCAAAATTGGCCCCGCCCCGGGGGGTCATTGATTTTCCCTATATGCATATAGTAAAAACTTAAAAATCTTCTTTTAAAGAACCCAAAGAGATTGAGCTAAGATATTTAGCATGAAACATGTTCTAATTGGTGTCTACCAAGTTTGTTCAAATAAAAGCCCTGGGGTCAAAATTGGCCCCGCCCCGGGGGGTCATTGATTTTCCCTATATGCATATAAAAAAACTTAAAAAATTCTCTTTTAAAGAACTCAAAGAGCTATGGCTAAGATATTGAGCATTAAACATGTTCTAATAGGTGTCTACCAAGTTTGTTCAAATAAAAGCCCTGGGGTCAAAATTGGCCCCGCCCCAGGGGGTCATTGAATTTCCCTATATGCATATAGTAAAAACTTAAAAAATCTTCTTTTAAAGAACCAAAAGAGTTAGAGCTAAGATATTTAGTATGAAACATGTTCTAATAAGTGTCTACCAAGTTTGTTCAAATAAAAGCCCTGGGGTCAAAATTGGCCCCGCCCCGGGGGTTCATTGATTTTCCCTATATGCATATATTAAAAACTTAAAAAATCTTCTTTTAAAGAACTCAAAGAGCTATGGCTAAGATATTTAGCATCAAACATGTTCTAATAGGTGTCTACCAAGTTTGTTCAAATAAAAGCCCTGGGGTCAAAATTGGCACCGCCCCGGGGGTCATTGATTTTCCTTATATGTGTATAGCAAAAACTTAAAATCTTCTTTGAAAAAACCCAAATAGCTAGAGTTTAGATATTAAGCATGAAACATCTTCTAGTAAGTGTCTACAAAGTTTGTTTAAATAAAAGCCCTGGGGTCAAAACTGGCCTGGCCCCAGGGGTGTCATTGTTTTTAACTATATGTGTATAGTAAAAACTTTAAAAAAATCTTCTTTTAAAAGCCCAATGAGCTAGAGCTTAGATGTTTAGCATGAAACATCTTCTTATGGGTGTCTACCAAGTTTGTGCAAATAAAAGCCCTTGGGTTAAATTGGCCCTGCAACGTTGGGGGGAGGGGGGTTGGGGGCCTATATACAGGTGAGCGACCTCAGGGCCATCATGGCCCTCTTGTTTTCTCATGCCGGCAGTCATATTGTTTTATTTTGACTGATGATAGGCAAGTGGACTTTTTGACCTTATTAAATATGGTCGTTGACTTCTAATCATTTACCTATCACAGCTGTAGGTTAAAGTCTCAGTATAGGGACATTGACATATTTCATGTGGAAGCAAGCTAGCTAAGCTTTACTGATAATAAATGGTTCTAATCTGGTGCCAATGTGTGCTGAGAGGGATGTCAATCATTGAAGCTAATAATAAAAAAAAGACCAACACCAAAAAAAGTATTTATCTAATTAGTTAGTTGCCTCTATGCAAGACTCTTTCACCACCTGTAAGTCAAGAGGCAAATACATAGTCCTGAACTTTGGTGCCAATCCATGTATTTTATTTGAGTCTTGTATCTCACTCATGTCAGTAACAGGGGTGTCAGTGGCTGAGTGATTAAGGCTGTTGACTACAAACCACTTGCCTCTCACTATTGTAGGTTTGAATCCCAGTGAATTTAATTCTTTATATGAGGACGTTATCCGGCTAGTCTGGAACGTCAATGGTTCTACTCAGGTGTCCTTTTGTGTCTAAAATAATGCACTGAGGGGCACAAAAGGTCATTGTCCACCAGAAAACTGGAAAGTCAACAAAATGATCGCTGTGAAAAGCCAAAGAAAAAACAAACAAGCAAAATGTCATTAACAAATTCTGTCATGTGAGGGAGCTATGCAACCTGTAATTGTCATAAAGTATCAGCTTTTGTAGGCATCATCAAAGCCTGGAACATCAGAAATCAGGAAAGAAGATGTTGTATTATCCATACAGTCATTCTTTATTCTGGACACTATTGGAGTTGTGTTGCATTGTATCACACTGGCATGTGCGGTCATCATTCTTTATTGTGTCGCCTGCCACAGACTGGTTTTTATCTTATACTTCTTATGCAATTTGAATCAAATTTTACATGATTGATTGGTACCTCAAGTTTATGTGCATATTTAAAGGGTTTTTCGGTTGAATGATGTTTGACTGAGTTATGGCCTTTGAATATAAAAATGCATTTTGGCCTGTTCATGTTTTTTGGGTGATCCATACAGTCAATATACACAAATGTACATTTCCAACAAACTGTCCAATCACCCCTTAATAATTCAATAGATATAAAAATAGTAGGTAGGTGTCTTGTTACACTTGGAGAAAAAATAAAATGGAAAAAAAAAATATGGCACCCATTCAAAAATTACTGGCCTTTTAATTTTATCTTTAATTTTTTGCCCTGATAGTAAAATTGCTGGTCAAGGTGTACCAAATTGTACAATATCCCTTTCTTTTTTGCATTTGATACACAAATGCAGTGGTATTTTGTTTTATGATGCACTTATACTTTGCATGCATTTAACTTTGAGGATGCAAAGCCTTTATTAAAGCATTTGCATTGTGAAACTTGAATAAAAAAAGCAAACTTTGCGGAAACAAAAATACCTGTTTACCTTGTCAGCTGATTTGACGGCTATAAATAGAAGTAGGTCAACATGTTGTTAGGTTTTCCCCCTTTGTACTGCGTTATCTGACAGCTGTAAAGAGGGGCGCTCCAAGGGGTGTGGGACTTTTCTTTGTGTATTGAAATGTAATAAGATACCTTGGTTGAAAGGCTACTGAACATGAAACATAATGACAGGTTACTAAGTTGGTTTTTTTGATGTTGTGAATATTAAATGAATTAAGCGGATTTTAGATATCATTTTACTGAATGCAAATTGGACACAAAACACATTAATAAAAAAAAAATAATCTCGCAAAACTGGGAAAATCGAAATGATATGGTAGAGCAGGAAAAAGTTAAAGTATTGATGGACAATTACATGGGTTAATCAGTTTCCTAACATATCCCATTTATAGACAGATAATTATTACCGATTTCATCAAGGTAGTGAATCAATTAATATAACGGGACACCTGTCCAGATGAATAGCCCAGAATGTAAATAGCATCTGTTCTTATTGTGGACACTTGACTGACTGTGACATCTTTAGTCCCTCGACTGGGTCCAGTCGTCTGTCCAGTTTTGGAGCCCTTTTGTCATAACTCTGATGGATTTATTTTTGTTTGGTCCAGGTAAAAACATCAAATTAACCTCGGTTGGTAGTCTTGTGACCAGTGCATTCCTAGATCAGCTAGCATATATTGCTCAATACTCATTGCTATTCATTTAGTACATGAATTGAAATTTTCCCTTAAAATGATAAAAGATGGACATTAGTCCATTTAAGATATTTAGCATGGTTAGAATTGTTATGATTTTGTGTTTCCCTTTCCCCACTCCAGTATAGTTGCAGTCTGGTCAGACCATATTGTTGAATAGTTTTGTATTAAAGCAGTGATTTTTCTCACTTAATTGGGAAAAAGGCCTTTAAGCCTCTAGATTTTGGGGGAAAATATCGCTAAAATTGCTAATTTGGGAAAAATAAAAGCAGGTTTAAGTTCAGATTTTTGGGAAAACTGCATGATTTCAAAGAAAATTTCAATTGGGAAGAGGCCTTTTATTATATTAAGCAGGAAAATCACTGTAAAGTTGTATGAATTAACCTAAAAACATAACATACTATTTTAAACATAACATATATTTTATTCAACATAAAATTGTATGCACACAATTTTTAGTCATACAATTCAATAATATATTTAACGTAAATTGTTTGATTTTCTTTGGGTATCGTGAAGGCGTGGACATTTTCATTTTGTATTTCATGCAAGCCAATGCATGAAATCATTTAGGACTTGAGAAGCCCATTGTTTATTTCCCCAATAAGGTGAAGGAGGGGTGCATATAAAGATTTGTCATTG